GCACTATCTTTATTTTATTTTTATTTTTTTATGGGCCCTATAACATGCTTCTTCCAAGGTCATCTTGCTTTCTTATTCAAATTAAAATACTAATCCAAACCCAAATTGATAAAAATCAAACCCTAATTATGGTGGGATTATCTTTTGCTTTTTAAAATTAAATGTCTCATATGGGGTCACTAATCTCCTAAACAATCAACTTTAATTATGTCTTTTAAATTATGAAAAATGTTTACATATTGATACTGCAACACTATCGAGACGATATCAATTATTAAATTTTATTTAAAAGTTCAATCTATTGACGAACTTATATTGATCAGAAAAGAAAACATTATCACACGAATAACAGTATGACTATAGAACCCTATAATTAATTCAAAATAGACTTTCACGGAAATGGCGGATGACCTCCTAGACCATCTATCCAAAAGTCGTTTTCTTTGTATTTCAACTTGTTTGTTTGCTTGATTGTTTAATCCTCTTTTTTCTTATCTCTTGACTCTTATTTTCTTTCGCTTTTTCCTCTCAAAGGATGATAAAAGGCTGACAAAGATAGATGAGACTTAAATTTTATTGAATTTATTGAACTCATTTTCTTTTTCTTTAACCTTTAAATTGCCCTTTGGCCACAATCAAATACTTCTCAAGAACAACAAATTAATCTATTAAAAGCATGATTTCAAGTGTCATTAAATAAAATTAATTAATTATTTTAGTAGTCCCTTGAACCCTTTATGGTGTTCATACCAATTATCTAAACCCTTTGCTTCAATGAGATGGTCAATCTTGGAGGCTCCAGTTGGGTGCAATTGTTTCATCCAAATTTATAGGTCACCAAACTTTCTTCATGCTGTCATCAACAGTAAACCAAGATTATAATATTCAATAATTTTTTAAAATTTTATATTAATAAATTATCATACGATACATCAGTGAATTCTGGTAGAAGTAAGTTTTTATTCGTTGTTTTACATAATGAAATGAATTTTGTACTATGGTGTACTTGTCAAAATGACACCAAATCTTGACTCCAATTGAAACCATATCATAGATAATTTAATGCAATGAAGCATAAAGTATTGGGAAATTATTGAATCTTGTGGGTTATTTTAATCCATGACTTTGACTTTATAACACAAGACAAGAGCATCCTAGATATAATTACCCAACTCCACACAAAACCCAATACAATTAATTAATTGATTGATTAAGCAAAGGGGTTAATAAATTATTAAATAAAATTAGGAACATTCTTGTTATTATACTGGCACTCAATTGTCATTATTCTAAGTTTAATTAATTATAATTAGTAACATCATGAACATGTTGACATTTTACTCACCAAATTAGACTTAAAATTCACAATTGGCTTATAAGTCACTTTGGAATTTAAGCCACAAAAATTGAACTTGTAATGCCACTTTGATGATTGAATATAAAGTTAAAACCCTAATTTTTCAACTTTCCTTTTTAAGCATGGCTGATTTTGGAAGTATTTGAAGAAAATTGTAGCCATTCATGCTCAATTGAGTAAAATATTATTCAATTAAGTCCAGAGCAGACAATATCTACTTGGTTTGGGTTCAGGGTGATTAGAAAATTTTGATTGTTCACAAAAAAACACTTTGAAAATATGGACAAACATAACCAGGTTGTTCTATTAATTGAGATATCATATCAGTTTTACGTATATCAATTAATCTTTAAAGGTGGGATTATCAGGTTAATCAAAAGGTTTATGCAAACGAAAAACACACCGATTTCGATTAAAAATCGAATGTAAACTGAAACGAAAATGAACTAAATTTTTGGTTCAGTTACCTGTTAACCGGTTTTAATTAACTTTAATCTTTAAAATTCTTCAATATTTATTTAAGTCCCTAAATTCAAATATTTATTATTTTATATTAATAATTTTTTGCTTTTATATTTAGGGTAAACCGAGAATCGAAATTCATGGGCAAAGATACTAACTTTGCACCCAACAGAAACTGAAAACCGAACCAGTTTTTTGAATTTCACAGACCGAAAACCGAATTGGTTGTAAAAAAACCTAATTTCGGTTCGGTTCGATTTTCGGATTATTTATCCTGCCCCCATTAATCCTCAAAGAAAGTTATCCCTCAACAATCACCGTCATAGCCCTCACAAGTAAATCATGGGCAAAGATACTAACTTTGCACCCAACAGAGAATCAAACATAGAACTGTGGTTGAAGTCATGCACAATCCTCTTAGTTCGCCTTTAAGAATATTTATCAATTTCATATTATAAGTTTATAAATTTTAAATTATTATATTTCCATTGAAGTAAATTTACGAAGTATTTTATTCACATTTTTTATTTACAAATTTCATGTTACGAGTTTACAAATTTTAAGTTAATGTATTGAAAACAGTGTGTTTAAACGAACCTAAATTTATATCACAGCAATAATACGATATTACAACCTAGTACATAGGCTTTCGAAAATATATTTCATTTACTTCTTTTATTATAAGTTTCATGTCGAGAGTTTACAAATTTTAAATTGATTTATTGTTATAACGTTGTATTAAAACGAAACTAAAATCTATGATATTACGATAAAATTACAATAACATTTGTAATACAAGCTAATATATAGGTTTTTAATTAATAATCATCAATATATAACTTATAACATCTACACATATTGGATTACACATATATTTTAATTAATGATATAAATAATACTATAAATTAAATAATTGATTTTGAAATCACGAAACTGGAGTGGACTGTGGACATAAGTAATGAGTCAAATATTTGATTTATGTATATTTAATTTAATAGTTTAATAAACCCTTAAATTAGAAATATTCAATGTATAAACTTATAATTCATGTCCTTAGTTTAATGTTACAAGTTTTAATATAAAAATTATACATCAAATCCTACTAGTGTAGGTCGGCGTGTAAAGACTATCTCAACCTATAGGGATTTTCTTTTATATAGGTAATTATCAATACAAACAAAAAAACAATTATTAGTCATATAAAGAAAGAAGAAAACAAAATGAATTTTATAAATAGGGTTTAGGATTCATTTTTATTTTTTAATAATGAGGTGTCAAATCAGTTTATGCGTATATCAATTAATACTCAAATGACAGAAGTATATCTTTGTGTCCCAGAGGAATCAAATCTGGAATTATGGATCTCAATGGATTAGCTGGCGGTTAAGGAGATTTGCACATTTCTTAAGTTCTGCGTTCAAACATTGGGATCACCTACCATAATAACATTGACTACTACCTGGTCTTTTTAGTTTGTAAGGTTTCAATAGATCCTAGAGATTAGTTGAACTTTGTGCAAGTGACCTAAACCCTGGTTACCAAAGTAAAAATCTCGACATATAGGTTGGACCATTTATAGCATTTTAGTTTGCCCTTACCGCTGGGTTACCATGGGTGGGTTTTAGGGTTTATTTTATTATTCAAAATGAGTAATAAATATAGATAAATGGTGTAACAATTGAAAAAATCATACCACATCAGTTTAAACACAAAAGTTTACGTACTTAGTTTATAAGTATAACATCACCTACTTTCATATAATCAGGGTGTGTTTCAAATTAACAACGAATAATGTTAGTGCATAACCAAAACCATACAACCCAAGTACTAACGGCGGATTTTCTTATTGTCACGTCAGTTCCCCCCAAAAGTAAAAAAAAAAATTTTAATTTCAACTGTAGTACTTGATTAGTACAACTTGGTTAATGCAGATAGCATTACTGCCTAAAGTAAATAGTAATAACCTTACAAGAAAATGGAAATGTACGAATGTTTAAACAATAATTAGGGTTTGAATTTACGAAGGGGCAATCATCATAGCATATGTTGAAGCGCCATGAGATGCGATGGAACATATACAGGGCAATTGTGTACTAATTTTAAATTTGCTGGACCATAATTTCTGGTTTCCCATGTGAGCCCTTTGCAGAATTTACATGATTATTATTTCTTTTTAGTACTAGTGCTACTTGATGAAACATCTAGGACATTTTTGCCCTCAAAAATGTTTTTAAAAAACAAAATCTTGAATGTGTTGTATGTTCATCTTTATCAAATGAAAAGCATTTTCCCCTTTTATTGAAGAAGCTTTTAGGTTTTATAGCATGATGGAAATTCTAACCCTACATGATTATTATTTGTACGTTCACATATCGGTTATATCCTACATCCAAATAAATCTATCAAACGATTCATTATAATGTGGTTGAATCATAATTAAAGTTAACTGTGTTAACTTACTAAAAGATCTTCCAAATGAAGCATCAAATGACTCACGTCCATACTTAACCGTTACGACTCTACGTGCACAATAATTTTTCTTTTTAATTATAATCTGTGTTGGTATTTACCGAATCAAAAAAAATTTTCCCCTATTTATTGAAGAATTTACTACCATTAGCTTTAATGGCAAGATGAAAATTCTAAGCCTATATAATTATTATTAGTACGTTCATATATAATTAAAGAAACTTTGTTAGCTCTAGTATATGACCGTCACAACAAAACTATATCTATTTAGTCATAAACGCGTTCATACCTTACCAAAAAAAAAAAAAAAAAAATCAAACATAGAAGAAATTTTATATTCTACATTTAAAGCTACCATATATTCTAGTTCTTGCAATCAAATGGACCCCAAGCTTTAATTTTATGAGTCTTATTTATGAAGCTTTCAAATTGATTTATGCTAATTTTCAAGTAACATTTATGTGTTTTTATTGATTATAAAGAGATGAATCCAAAGCCCAGAAAAACCTCCTCCGAGTTCATCTAGATTTTGAATAAAAATTGGGAATTGTTTTGTGTTGCTTGAAGGGTCAATATTTGGTAGATTTAGACTATTCAACTTTTATTTTTTTTTTTTAAAGATTAATTAATTAAAGCCTTACCCAACTAATAGAAAATACCAATAAAATAAAAGGAAAATAAAAGAAATAGTGGCAAGAAAACAAAACATCCATCAATGTTGAGAGATGACTGTCCTTTCGGAGCTTTCACATGGGATCCCAAAATACTCAGAAACCATCATCTGGTTCTCATTCACAATCTTCGGATCTGGGAACTCAATCTTATCCAGAGACTCAGACATTTCTGAGGTTTCATCTGCTGCCAAAGGCTTAGGCATTGCAGGAATAGCCATTACTTCAGGTGATGTCCCGGCATATGAAAGAGACAACTGAACAAATCCTGCTGGAGAATGAAAGAGATCAGTTGAAGAAAGTGAAAACTCTTTCTCCAACTTCCCATTCTCGACGACTACTTCAGACAAAGGCACCAAAGCAAATCCCAGTAATTGGTCTTCCAGATAATTCTTCACCCTGCTCATCATAAATATCTCACATTTCAGGGAGGAATCAACAGTTTTAACATTAAGTCGAAGATTTTCCTTGAATACTGGATTCCTCCCCCCACCGTTGATGATTTTGGTGGAGACTGTGCTCTCAGGATCACTAGTGAGACAAAGCTTAGCATAAACATCTTGCTTGTGGTAAATGCAGATGTTCTGGATGTCCCTAGCCTGATGTATGTAAACTTCAAGCACACCAATGAAGTTCTCCAGGTTAGACACAACAACTTCTTTCCTGTTCGCTTGAGCTTGAGCTTGACCTCCCTTTGTTACGCTGCCAGTGTGGGCAAAAAATTCAGATTTCTGCTTCTCAGGCTCAGCAATAACAGCGCTCTTAAATGGTGAGACAACAGATTGTGGAGAATCCATGGGAACACCAAGAGATTGAACCTGGAAAAGCAAAACAAGATATAACTGAACAATCAGCAAAACACAAATGAAATCCTAAGTCAAAGCTGAGAAATTGAAGCAAATTAAAAAACCAGCTGATACTTAGAACAGATATTCATAGATTAAGAACTAACTTTCAGAACATATTTGGTAACACTTGAACCAAATTCTAAAACTGTTAATATGCTTAGACCCAAAAGTACGGCAATGCATCCAAACCCAAAATTGAATTACTTCCCTGAACTAAAACAAAGATCAATCCTACACAAAATTCAGAGTTAATCAACTATCAAAACTAAGGAGCAAACTACAAGACCAAAACATAACTTAAGCTCAAAATTAAACAAACCCCAGAGCTGAAATAAAACCCTAAATTTAAAGTTTTACCTTAGCCTAAGCTGAAATTAGCAGACAATTCTCAAACCCAGAAACAGAAACACTTCCAAAATGAAACCTTTCACATGAACCAAGTACCAACCCCACAAAATTCTCAAAACCCAGAAGGCAAAAACCCTAAAAAAACGGTTACTTTTTCTCAAAGTGAACTTCTCCAAAAACCGAAAACACCATAAACTTAAAAACAATCAAAGACCCACAAACAGTTATGGCTAGATGAGACCAGACTCCCATAAAGCAACCAACTTTTCAACACAGAAACCGGAATCCAAGGAAGACTTAAACAGTCAAAGCCAAAAAAACACAGTAACCCAGATCATGTCACACAATTCTAAAAACATACCTACTAAATTCAAAGCGCAGAAGTAAAAAAGAGAAACGAACAAAGTGATTATAACAACAAAGCCTGAGCCTTTATTGCTCATTAAATTTTTCACCTGCCCTTTAGCCTCAAAGTCAAAAAACCCGTTAGAGTAAAGCTCTAGATCTAGCCAAAACCCAGTTGAGTAAACCAGGTAGTATCTTGAGAAGTGAAGTGATAAGAGAATAAAATCCAACAAAACCTGCGAATTCAGTTGGGTATACAAAAAGAGGTCTGGTATTATGTAGGTATATATGGAAAAATTGATTGTTTCTTTTTTAGATGAACAGTGAGGAATAAAATTTTAAAAAAAAAAAGGGATATTAACGCTTTTTGGGTATTAAAATAAGAGTGTAGAGACAACAGAGTTTAGAGAAACACCGCCCCACGCTCTTGGCTTGGCTTGGCTGGGGACGGGCGATTGTGGACCAATTAGAGGAGAGATTGGTGCGTTCTTGCAGGTGGGACATGGAACAGAAGATGAGTCTTCATTCACTGTTTCAACTGTGGACTCCTTTGTCAATGTTGTCAGGCTCTTTCCCCTTCTCTTTCTTTCGCCCCCCGTTTGTTTATACCTTCTCTCTCATTGTTGGGATTTTTTTTCTTTGTTTATCTTGGGATTTTCAGATTTTTGTGTCTTTTTGTTTCCTCTTTTTCAATCTTTTCAACGTTAATTACACTCTTTTCCCTCGCTTTCTCAACGTTAATACGTTTATAATACTCTCTTCTACTCACCTTTTTCAACGTTAATAACACCCTCTGTCACTCCTCCTTATAAACGTATCAATTTGTAACTGATTAATTCATAATCAAACATATATGATCTATTATAAATTGATTAATTATAAACTATTATATCAGAATTATAAAAAAAAATTTATAAGATTTAATTGTCTCATATATATATTATTAACTAAGGTATCTAGATCAGTTTATACGTACATCGATTAATCCTTAGAGGTGGAATAATCATGTTAATCAAACCGATTTATGCAAATCGAAAATTGCATCGGTTTTGATTAAAAACTGAATGTAAACTAAACTGAAAATGAACCAAATTTTCGGTTCAATTACCGATTAACCGCTTTTCAAATTATCCTTAAAATTCTTCAATGTTTCATTTAAGTCCCTAAATTCATATATTTATTATTTTATATATAATAATTTTTTTGCTTTTATATTTAGGGTAAACCGAAAACCGAAATTTATGGGCAAAGATACTAACTTTGCACCCAACAGAAATCGAAAACCGAACCGGTTTTTTGAATTTCACAAACCGAAAACCGAAACGGTTTGTAAAAAAACCTAATTTTTGATTCGGTTCGGTTTTTGGATTATTTATCCCCCCTATTAATCCTCAAAGAAAGTTATCCCGCAACAATCACCGTCATAGCCCTCACAGGTAAATCATGAGCAAAGATACTAACTTTGCACCTAACAGAGAATCAAACATAGGACTGTGGTTTGAAGTCATGCAGAACCCTCTTAATTCGTACTTTAAGAATATATATCAATTTCATATTATAAGTTTATAAATTTTAAATTATTATTATTTCCATTGAAGTAAATTTACGAAGTATTTTATTCACATTTTTTATTTACAAATTTCATGTTACGAGTTTACAAATTTTAAGTTAATGTATTGTTAAAACAGTGTGTTTAAACGAAACCTAAATTTATGATATCACAGCAATAATACGATATTACAACCTAGTACATAGGCTTTCGAAAATATATTTCATTTACTTCTTTTATTTATAAGTTTCATGTCGAGAGTTTACAAATTTTAAATTGATTTATTGTTATAACGTTGTATTAAAACGAAACTAAAATCTATGATATTACGATAAAATTACAATAACATTTGGTAATACAAGCTAATATATAGGTTTTTAATTTAATAATCATCAATTATATAACTTATATACATCTACACATATTGGATTACACATATATTTTAATTAATGATATTAAATAATACTAATAAATTAAATATTGACTTTGAAATCACGAATAATGGATGGACTGTGACATAATTAATGAGTCATTATTCCGATTTATGTATATTTAATTTAATAGTTTAAATAACCCCTAAATTAGTAAATATTCATGTATTAAACTTTAATAATTCATGCTTTAGTTAATGTTACAAGTTTAATATAAAAAATTATACATCAATCCTACTAGTGTAGGTTGGCGTGTAAGACAATCTCAACCTATAGGGATTTATCTTTTATATAGATTTATCAATACAAAACAAAACATTATTAGTCCAATATAAGAAGAAGAAAACAAAATGATTATTTTATAAATAGGGTTTACGATTCTTTTTATTTTTAATAATTGAGGCGTCAAATCAATTTATGCTTACCTCAATTATATTCAAAGGGAGTTATCGGATATCAATTCATCGTCACAGCCCCCCAAATAAATCATGGGCAGAAGTACTATCTTTGTGTTTAACAGGAAATCAAATCTGGAACTGTGGACCCCAAGGGATAGTCTAGCAGTTAAAGAGATTTGCATTCTTTTTTGAGTTTTTGGGTTCAAACTTTGGACCACCTACCATAATACATTGCGACTACTTGTCCTTTTAGTTTGTAGGGTGTTTAATTTGAAACACGCCCGTAGACCACACTGTTATGTGGCTTACGGTGTGTTTCAAATTAAACAACGGCCCTAGAGTAAATAGTAATACCTTACAAGAAAATGGAAATGAATGAATGTTTAAACAATAATTAGGGTTTGAATTTCAAAGGCAATCATCATAGCATATGTTGAAGCCCCCATAGATGGATGAGCATCTACAGAGCAATTGTGTACTAAATTTAAATTTGCTGGACCATAATTTCTGGTTTCCCATGTGCCCTTTGCAGAATTTACATGATTTTTTATTTCTTTTAGTACTAGTGCTATTTGATGAAACATTTATGACATTTTTGCCCTCAAAATTTTTTTAAAACAAAATCTTGAATGTGTTGTACGTTCATCTTTATCAAATGAAAAGCATTTTCCCCCTTTTTATTGAAGAAGCTTTTAGGTTTTAGCGCATGAGGAACTAACCCTACATGATTATTATTTGTACGTTCACATATTGGTTATATTCCTACATCCAATAAATCCTCAACGTTCATTATATGTGGTTGGTCTATAACTAAAGTTAACTTGTTTAACTTTACTAAAAGATCTCCAAAGGAAGCATCAAATGACTCACGTCCATACTTACCGTCATGACTCTATCGCGCACAATAATGTTTTTTTTTGTATTATAATCAGTGTTCATATTTACCGAATCTAAACATTTTTCCCCTTTATTGAAGAATTTACTACCATTAGCTTTAATAAGATGAAAATTCCGAGCCTATATATTATTATTAGTACGTTCAATTAATTAAAGAAACTGGTTAGCTCTAGTATATGACCGTCACAAACAAACTATATCTATTTAGTCATAAACGCGTTCATACCTTACCTCCCCAAACAAAAAAAAAAAAAAAAAAAACCTCCTCTGAGTTTATCTAGATTTTGAATAATAATTGGGAATTGATTTTTGTGTGCTTGAAGGAGTCAATTATTTGGTAGATTTAGACCATTCAACTTTTTATTTAAAGAATTAATTAATTAAAGCCTTACCCAACTAATAGAAATACCAATAAAATGACAGGAAAATAACAGAAATAGTGGCAAGAAAACAAATATACCCATCAATGTTGTGTGACTTGTCTATTATTAAGACACTCCAATAATACCCCCCTTTTTTTAATTAGATAGTTCATGAGGGGCATTATTGAGTTGCCAAACCAATAATTATTGGTCGATTATGTTGGTTTATAATCTGAACAAGCTTCCCCCGTCAAGTTATCGTCACATGAACTTTTCCCATCTTCGGCCTTCAAGTTCGATTTGAAATTTGCTATTACCACTAAGATCTGTATCAACGACTGCTCTCTCTGGCTTGCGCCCTGAGTTTTGCAACAATCGTCACGCCCTCCTACTCATCGAGGCTAAACTTGCCCTGACGACCAGGTATAGGTCATCGAAAATAATTTTCAAAAATTAAAATATGATTAAAAAATTATTTCTATGTTTTTATATTTGAAAAGGTGTATATTGATATGATATTTAGAAACTATTTTCATATTAATGCTATAAAAATAATTGAAAAAAATTGTTCTCTTGATTTTACACTAGTTATAGGATTTTTCGAAACAAGTTCGAAAACATTTCAACTTATTTTAATCAAAGTGCTTTCATAAGATTTTTTGTATTCAGTATTTTGAAAAACAAAAAACTGTATTTGAATCTACCGTCTTATTGTTTTTCATCGTGATATGAGACATAGGTAAATTTTCTCCTTTTGCATCAATGATACAGAGGAAATAATAATGAAAGGGTTCACAAATGTAGATGCTAATCAATCAAAACCCCTAAAAAAGAAGGGATGTGTAGAACTTAGAAAAATGGCTACTTTAATAGCAAAAACCTCCACTAAGGGGGAGAAAAGCACTATCTTTATTTTATTTTTATTTTTTATGGGCCCTATAACATGCTTCTTCAAGGTCATCTTGCTTTCTTCAAATTAAATACTAATCCAAACCCAAATTGATAAAAATCAAACCCTAATTAGGTGGGATTATCTTTGCTTTTTAATTAAATGTCTCATATGGGGTCACTAATCTCCTACATCAACTTAATTATGTCTTTAAATTATGAAAAATGTTTACATACTGATATGCAACACTATCGAGACGATATCAATTATTAAATTTTATTTAAAAGTTCAATCTATTGACGAACTTATATTGATCAGAAAAGAAAACATTATCACACGAATAACAGTATGACTATAGACCCTATAATTTTCAAAATAGACTTTCACGGAAATGGCGGATGACCTCCTAGACCATCTATCCAAGTCGTTTTCTTTGTATTTCAACTGTTTTGTTGCTTGATGGTTTAATCTCTTTTTTTCTATCGCTTGACTCTTATTTTCTTTTGCTTTTTCCTCTCAAAGGATGATAAAAGGCGACAAAGATAGATGAGACTTAAATTTTATTGAATTTATTGAACTCATTTTCTTTTTCTTTAACCTTTAAATTGCCCTTTGCCACCAATCAAATACTTCTCAAGAACCAAATTAATCTATTAAAAGCATGATTTCAAGTGTCATTAAATAAAATTAATTAATTATTTTAGTAGTCCCTTGAACCCTTTATGGTGTTCATACCAATTATCTAAACCCTTTGCTTCAATGAGATGTCAATCTTGGAGGCTCCAATTATCAACCAAGATTATAATATTCAATAATTTTTTAAAATTTTATATTAATAAATTATCATACGATACATCAGTGAATTCTGGTAGAAGTTTTTATCCTAGTTTTACAAATGAAATGAATTTTGTACTATGGTGTACTTGTCAATGACACCATCTTGACTCCAATTGAAACCATATCATAGATATTTAATGCAATGAAGCATAAAGTATTGGGAAATTATTGAATCTGTGGGTTTTTTAATCCATCTTTGACTTTATAGCACAAGACAAGGCATCCTAGATATAATTACCCAACTCCACACAAAACCCAATACAATTAATTAATTGATTGATTAAGCAAAGGGGTTAATAAATTATTAAATAAAATTAGGAACATTCTTGTTATTATACTGGCACTCAATTGTCTTATTCTAAGTTTAATTAATTATATTAGTAACATCATGAACATGTTGACATTTTACTCACCAAATTAGACTTAAATTCACAATTGGCTTATAATCACTTTGGAATTTAAGCCACAAAAATTGAACTTGTAATGCCACTTTGATGATTGAATTAAAGTTAAAACCCTAATTTTTCAACTTTCCTTTTAAGCATGGCTGATTTTGGAAGTATTTGAAGAAAATTGTAGCCATTCATGCTCAATTAGTAAAATAGTATTAATGAGTCCAGAGCTAACAATATCACTTGTTTGGGTTCAGTGTGATTAGAAAATTTTGATTGTTCACAAAAAAACACTTTGAAAATATGGACAAACATAACCAGTTGTTCAAGCTAGTGGCGCGTACCTTAACTAATCCTCGGATCTATTGAACACTCTAGAAACTCAATATGCTAGGTAGTTATAAATGTGGTAGATGACCACTTTGTCGGACTCAAACATAAGACCTTTAGGCAATCCACCTAGTGACTAAAGTCTTGTCGTTCGGTTACAAGGCTAGTGGTTTACAAACACACTATTATCCGTCAGAAAAATGATATCAAGATACCGAAAATTTTTCGAGTCTTCAAATTGACGGAGTAAACTAGTTTACAAGTCTTGGAAAATGAATGAAAGTTTCACATTATTATAAATTTTATTAGCCCTTTTTTCTTTTTTCTTTTTTTTTTTTTTTTCATGTATTGCTTGGGAAAACAATTAAGTAGTTGGAGAAGAAAGCCTGAAATTTAGGTTGCATTTTTTGTCCTCAATAATGTGTCAAAAAAAACAGTTGAGCATTCAAAGTGCTTCTAGATAAGCTTTTGAAATGAAGGGCTGAGTGGGCAATTGGCAATTAAAATAGTAGGACCACATCCTTTTGAAAAATTTACTAATGATTACTGTGCTTAATGGGCTGGGCCTGAAAGTTATTGGGCTGGTGTACTCAGTGGAGTTACTGGGCTTAGGCCCATTATGATCAGCCCAAGCCTAGCCTTGAAAAGATTGTGTAATAGCCCACCCCACCTCACCCCATCTATACATCTCTAAATTCTCCAAATAAAATTAGTTTTTTTTATTGTTTTTAAAATATAGATTTAATTTTTTTTTCTATTTACAAAAAAAATAAAAATAAATAAATAAACATACTCAATGTATCAATTTAATTCAAAGATAATGAATTAAATTCATGGTGCTTTTTAAAATTAATCCCAACTAAAAGTTCATTTGGAGGATTATTTAAGAGTTATATTTAAGTTTAAATAAAGCCAAACATTGCATAATTATTATTATTAAGAGTTAATTACATAGACTTCCCTTAAGGTTTCAATATTTCACAGGTGCATAGAAAAGATCATTAAGTTTAACATGAACACCGCACTTCTTTCACTTATGTTAGCCGTTAGGATCATTTCCATTACATCTCCTTCATTATAAAAAAATTAATAACTTGCCCCCTATAAGTAGCCACTTACACTTCCTACCGTCAAATTTTGATGTTAAATTAATTGAGAGAAGTGCACAAAGTTGAAAATTAAAATATTTTGCAAAGTAAAAATATAAAAACTAAAAAAAAAAAAAAAAACAAATAATAAAGTATACTTTTCAAAATATATATTTTTGTAAATTGAAAATTTAATAATAATTTTTTAAAGAAAAGATCTAGAGGTGGGCATTTGGGACTGGGTTAAAAAACCCAGCCAAAAAACCTGGTCCTAGGAGGCCTGGTCCCAAAACAGGACCAGGCCTAAGGAGGAGGGCCCGGTCCCTCCTCCAAGGCCCTGGGCGTGAGCTCAAATTTTTTTAAATGTTTTTGTTTTAGTCCCTTGTACAATTATATAAAACTCTTATAAATTTTGAAATAAACATAAATTATAAGGGTTAAAAGAAAGTTTTACAAAATCTATAAAAAAAATAAAAAAAAATTTCCAAGCCTTGAAAAATTTATAAATTTTACCCTTGAAAAATACTAAAAACCCACTACAAAATTTTGTTTTGCCCCTAAAATATAAAAAAGGATCAAGGGGGAAAAAGAAAATTTTCAAGCCCATAGGACCGGTCCGATTCCTAAAATTGCTCATGGGCCTAGGATCGGTCTCAGGCCCATGAACAACTGATCCCATTTAGGAGTAGTCCCAAACGGGCCTAGGCCCGGGCTTGCTTGGGATTGGTCCTTGACTAGATCTAAAAAGATCGTCCATTCTGGAGATCTAAGAATGGTGGTTCTACAGATCTTTGATCATCCTACACCTCTTTTTTTTCTTTATTTTTTTAAAAGTAAATTCTTGTAAAAATAATATTATATCTTAAGTATATATTTTTTTAAAAAATTTCTAAATATTTTATTATTATTTTGAAATGTTTAATATATGATTTAGTATTTTTAATATAAAAAGTTTATTTTACCCTTTCCTCTATTAACTTTAAGACAAAAAATAGATGATAGATGGTGTAAGTGACTAATTATGGGGGACAACTGCTAGTTTTTTATGTTAATAGGCTTGTAAAGAAAGTAACCCTACCAGAGCCTAATAATTAATAAAGTTAAAAGGATGGGGTGTTTGTGTTAACCTAACCATTTCTTTCATCCTCCTGTGAGATGTTCAAACTCTGGGAAGTCTACGTAATTAACTTATAGTTAAACTTTAATTTATGTACACTTACATTTGCACTTTTGAAAATTAATAAATAAATCAATAAAATTAATAACAGCTGTGAGATGACTTGGCTTCGTCGATTCCAACGGCTATATTTTTGAATTTTATTAATGGACGAATAACTCCCTCCCTTGGTCACATCTCCAACGGTCATCTTCCTCCGCCATCCTCAATTCAAAAACGCTCTTCTTCACGCTCTTTCTTCTCTATACTTTTTGAACTCATCTCTGTCTCTCTCTCTCTCTCTCTCTCTCTCTCTCTCTCTGCGTGTTTCTGCAAATCGAGAAAACAAAAACAGAGAAAACAAGAAAAGCAAAAACATGAAGCACAGCACTACTTCATCAATCCGAAACCTTCTCTCTAAATCTCTCTCTTCGAAGCACAAAACCAACCTTAAAATTCCCAAATCCAACAACGAAAACGATCCTCCACTCCACCCTAACATCAAGCAACTCTCGCCCACCCTATCACCTTCCAAATCGTTGAGTTTCAAAGCCCAGATTGCCCCATCCGACGGTCACCCTGAAGTGTCCAAATCTCAGGACCCACCACTCAAGGTAATTAACCTAATTTACTGCTTTTGAACTTTTTAATTCAATTTCTTGCTTAAAAATTACTAAAAGTTGTGGAATTTTTGAATTCACAGAGTCAAAATGAGTTCCCGGAACCGGACGCTCACTGTGAAGTATCACCGGTTTCAGATCCGCCAGTGAAGGTACACTGAATTACTCCATGTTTCAATTTTTTTTTTTAAAATTTGAATTGTTATTTAATTATATATACAAGAGGCCCTAATAAATGCGTTTTTTGTGATTGATTTTGTTATATAAATATATGATAAGGTTGTGGTGAGGGTTAGACCAGTGTATGATCATGAAAGAGATGTGAACCGGACGGTGAGGAAGGTTTCTTCGGATTCATTGTCTGTTGGGGATCGTAAATTTACATTTGATTCGGTTTTCGACTCGAATTCTAATCAGGTTTGACACTTATCTTCTTCTGGGTTGACTCAGTTTCTTTGATTTACTTAGCAACCAAACATAGAGTAATTAATGGAATTGAGTTGTTTTTGTTCCTATTTGCTACAATTTGACAAATAAATTAATTAAGTTTAGCTTAATTATAAGAAATTGGGTTGGTTTAGTGAACAAAGCTTACATTTTTGGATCATTTTTTTTCTATGCTTCAAAACACAAACTACTGTTTGATGCTTACCAGAAGAGTATTTTAGATAAATATTAATTGAATTTAGCTTAATTTAACAAACTGGGTTAGGTTAGTTTGGTGAACCAATCTCATATTTTTCTATCTTCTTGTCTTGTGTATTTTTGGCAACAAACATAAGCTGACCAGGATATTGTACAGAAAGATTTTATTCAATTTAGTTTAGTCTATTAAAGTGGGTTAGTTTATTTAGTGAACCAATTTCACAATTTTCTATCATTTTGTTTTCTGCTGTATTTCTTCGCATTGAATTATAAGCTGTTGTTTGATGCATACCAGGAGGATATATTTCAGTCAGTTGGTGTCCCCTTGGTTGAAAACGCATTGGCTGGTTACAATGCTTCAATCTTGTCGTATGGGCAGGTATCTAAGAATTAATGCTTTGAGTTTAGTAGTTTTTATGAGCTTTTTGATTGTGTATGTGCTGGTATTAAGTAAATGTTGTTGGATTCTTAAAAGACTGGAAGTGGAAAGACCTACACGATGTGGGGGCCTCCAAGTGCCATGGTTGAGGATCCTTCACCCAGAAGTCAGCAGGGCATTGTTCCTCGGATATTTCAGAAGCTCTTCGCTGAGATTCAGAGAGTATGTTTTGTTTTCCTGAATTCATAGTCTGTAAGACTTAAGTTATGTTGAAATGTTGTTCATGGCTGATTGGCTTTAACTGTTGTGTGCAGAAGCAAGAGAACTCTGATGGAAAACAAATCAATTATCAGTGTCGCTGTTCTTTTCTTGAGGTGTGTGAAACATTTCAACGTTAACAAGTGATGCTTGGCTTATTGCTTTGCATAATGTAATGCGTTTGTGGTCTGATTGGTTTATAATTGCAGATATACAATGAGCAAATTGGGGATCTACTTGATCCAACTCAGCGAAACCTTGAGGTGCAAATTTTACTGTCCCTTTCCTTGTTACCCTTTTATGTGTTCGTGATGTATGCCTGGAGCTAAGAGTTGGTTTTGTCTAAATTGTTGCAGATAAAAGATGATCCCAAAAATGGCTTGTATGTTGAAAATTTGACTGAAGAATATGTGACTAGTTATGAGGATATAACTCAGATTCTGATCAAGGTAGGCAAGCAGATATCTCAAGACCATTCTATTTTGCCTATGCTCTATCCAGTAACTACCTTCCTTTTCTGTCCTGTAACTTTCTATACGTGTGTGATTCATAGGGGCTTTCAAGTAGAAAGGTTGGAGCAACAAGCATCAATTCTAAGAGTTCACGATCCCATATTGTGTTTACTTTCATTTTAGAGTCCTGGTGCAAGGTATCGTTGAATATTTGCAGATTCATTGTCCCTAATGCAATTGAAGGATATTTTTCTTTGTTCATGTTACTAAGACTTCCATTTAAATATGCGGTTGATTTCATGAAACAGGAAGCTTCATCAAAATTCAGTAGTTCTAAAACTAGCAGAATCAGCCTCATTGATCTTGCTGGAGCAGATAGAAACAAACTTGATGAAGTGGGTAGACAAAGTGCAAAGGAAGGGAAATATGTTAGGAAGACCCTCTCACAGCTTGGGTATAAATCCTTGACCAACATACTAAATGAAGATTTTTACTTTCAAAAAAGAGAAAATATTATAAAAGGAATGATTAACAATTATGTCTTTGTTTCATTGGTGCAGGTATTTGGTAAATGCTCTAGTACAAGAAACTCAACCTGGAAAACCTGAAGATGCTGTATCCAGAAATTCCCGTTTAACGCATTTACTGCGAGAATCACTTGGTGGCAATTCAAAACTAACGGTTATCTGCAATGTCTCCCCAGATAACAAGTATGCCATTTTAACTTCACTTTAGTTGCTATATACAGAATTTTAGAAACAAATCAACTATCACCTTAAGCTAAAGGATATGGTAGTTTTCAACACTACTGGTTGGAGTCAGGATGTTAATTGTTAATTGTACTTGGCTGGCACACCGAGCATGAGGGAAGGTATTAGAAGTTTTATTTGTCTCACATCACCAATTTAGTGGGTTGTTATGGTCTATATGTGTTGGTCTCTCTTCTCCTTTGAGCTAGCCTTTGGGAGGGGGAGTGAGGGGGAGGATGATAGTAGTTGTGCTGGTTTCAACACGATTGTTAATTGCACTTGACTGGCACACCGAGCGTGAAGGAAGGTGTTAGAAGTTGTATTTGTCTCATATCACTAATTTAATGGGTTGTTATGGAGTATACGTGTTGGTCTCTCTTCTTCTTTGAGCTAGTTTTTGGGAGGAGGGAGTGAGGGGGAGGGGAGGGAACTTTCCCAAAGGGTCCACAGAGGGAATTTCACAGAGGGGAGTGTGGGGAAGGTCCACAGAGGGAGTGTGGGGGAAGGGAGGAGGGAACGAGGGGAAGGGAGGGGGAGTCCCTACCCCCACAGAGAGTGGGAACTTGGGGAGGGAACTTGGGAAACTTGGGAACTTCTACTAGATCCCTTCTGTTTCTCAAAATCCAATTGTCTGCTGCTGTGTTTTAATGGTTTTCTCATAATTAATTATTGCATGTCCCTACCCCCACAGAGAGTGGGAACTTGGGGAGGGAACTTGGGGAGTCCCTACCCCCACAGAGAGTGGGAACTTGGGGAGGGAACTTGGGAAACTTGGGAACTTCTACTAGATCCCTTCTGTTTCTCAAAATCCAATTGTCTGCTGCTGTGTTTTAATGGTTTTCTCATAATTAATTATTGCATGTCCCTACCCCCACAGAGAGTGGGAACTTGGGGAGGGAACTTGGGGAGTCCCTACCCCCACAGAGAGTGGGAACTTGGGGAGGGAACTTGGGAAACTTGGGAACTTCTACTAGATCCCTTCTGTTTCTCAAAATCCAATTGTCTGCTGCTGTGTTTTAATGGTTTTCTCATAATTAATTATTGCATGTCCAATAATTAATTAATTAAATTTTTTTATGCTTTGCAAGTTTAACAAGGAGACAAAGTTATCCTTTATATGCACGTTTAAATAACAAATGTTTTGTTAGCTTTATATTACTCACAGCTTGTTTTATAAAATGTAAAGGGGAGTAGTTTTTGTACTTTTAATATGTTTGTTTGAATTATACAAATCAGTATCCGTGGGATTATCGTGAAACTGTGCTTGAGATATCTGGTGTCATTTTTTTAAGATTTTGCTTGTTGTTGAAGCAGAAATATCGGTGAAATACTGAGCACCATCAGATTTGGACAACGAATCAAATGCATAAGAAATGATCCGGTAATAAATGAAATATCAGAGGATGATGTTAATGATTTGAGTGATCAGATCCGTCAACTAAAGGTACAAATTCTCTCCTGCAGAAGTTACATTTTCTGTTTAGTTACATTTATTATTAAAATATGTATCATTTTGTTTGCAGGAAGAACTAATAAGAGCGAAGTCTGATGTATGTAAATCAGTTAGGAGCAAAAATGGACACTTTAGAGGGAAAAATGTACGGGACAGCCTTAATCAATTGAGAGTAAGCCTTAACCGCTCCTTGATGCTCCCACGCCTAGATAATGACTTCGAAGAAGAAGTGAATTATGACGAGGAAGATGTTAAGGTACTTCGTGAGCAGCTAGATAAGTTACATAAGTCTGATGAGGAGGAGAAGGAAAGCTCCAGAGATCAATCTGACAACAGAGATTCTGTCCACTTTTCTTCGGTAGATGAAAGTTGTGAGGCAGACTTGATGAGCGAAGATGACATGACTTATCCGCAGGAAATTGAATTGGAAGAAATCAATCTGGAGGGTCCTCAGAATGAACTTCCTACCACCACGTCAAAACCCATTAATCATGCATTTAGAAGTAGCATTTCAATCAGCTCATGCCATAACTCTACCCTTCTCCAAGAACCAACTTTGTCCGAGTCTCCGAAAATTGGAAATATCCAGAGAAAGAGCATGGCCATTCCATCAAGTCCTTTGGCAAGTCAGAAGAATGTGTCAGAGAGTTCCAAATCAGATGTATTACGACAGTCACTTAAACATAGTGAGCACCTGCGATCATCATTTCAGTCAAGCAAGATGCCTCCAGGTGCAACTGAATCTTTGGCTGCTAGCCTTCAAAGAGGCTTGCAAATTATAGACCATCACCAGCGGAACTCACTATCAAACAGATCTTCGGTAGCGTTTTCCTTTGAGCACTTGACTTTGAAACCTTGTCCTGAAGTTGACAAAGCTAATGCTTCTGTTCAGACATTACCAGAAGAGAGACCATCTGGCATTTCACTTTGTGCATCTTGCCGTAAAAAAATCGATAACAATTCCAATGAGGTTCAGGATAGCCTGAAGACATGGATTGTAGCAGTTAATGAAGAAGGGAGTTCCCAAGTGACTAGAGTATGCTCCAGACTTAAATTCTGCAACCGCCATAGAATATTCTATGTTTTGTCTGTGTAGATTTATTTGTTCTGTTGCTTTTGTATCAGGATGGTGCAGAGCCCATTAAGAGAGAGGTGCTTGAAAATATTTGCAAGGAGCAAGCAGCAAAAATCGAGCAGCTAAACCGCCTGGTGATTATTTTTTTCTTTTTTACATCTACGAATGTTGGATCTGACAACTTGTCTTTCATATTATTGACAACATTCTGAATTTCTGCAGGTAGAGCAGTACAAACATGGTCATGAAAGCAATGCTCTTTGTGTCGGGGCTCTTGAAGAGGCGAGTCATGAAGACCTTTTGATGAAGGATGACAAATGTGATATAAAGGAAGTCCAGGAAGTCTCGGACCATCAGGAGAAAAATACTTCATTTGATGTGAATGAGAAGGAAGCACTTCTTAAGGAAATAGAAAGTTTGAAGAGCAAGTTGCAGTCATATACTGATGCATCGCCATTCAAATCTACTGAGAATCTGAGATCCTCTTTGTTGTCACGATCCATTCAACTGAGAAAGAGTGTAGATTGTCGACCTAATACTGCTGAAGAACTAGAGAAGGAAAGAGAAAGATGGATAGAAATGGAGAGTGAATGGATTTGTATAACCGATGATTTAAGAGTTGATCTTGAATCAAGCAGACGGCATGCAGAGAAAGTGGAAATGGAACTGAGATCAGAGAAGCAATGCACTGAGGAATTAGATGATGCACTTAGTAGAGCTATGCTTGGACATGCTAGAATGGTTGAACACTATGCTGATTTACAAGACAAGTATAATGACTTGGTTGGACGTCATCGCGCAGTCATGGAAGGGATAGCAGAGGTGAAGAGAGCAGCAGTGAAGGCAGGTTCAAAAGGTCACGGCTCACGTTTTGCCAAATCCCTCGCCGCACAGCTTTCAGCTGTTAGAGTTGAGAGGGAGAGGGAAAGAGAATTCCTGAAAAAGGAGAACAAGAGTCTTAAAATCCAGCTTAGAGACACTGCAGAAGCTGTTCATGCTGCTGGAGAACTCCTTGTTAGGCTCAGGGAAGCTGAACATGCAGCCTCAGTGGCAGCGGTAATCATAATATATCATATCCTTTATTTCTCTTCATGTTTCGTCTTAAATCTTTTGCCATCTTGTTGGAAATATACTGAGTTAAATGTCCTTTACAGGAGAACTTTTCCCAAGTTCAGCAAGAAAATGAGAAGTTAAAGAAGCAAATAGAGAAGGTAAAGAGGAAACACAAGATGGAGATGAACACAATGAAGCAGTATCTTGCAGAAAGTAGATTGCCAGAATCTGCATTACAATCGCTATATCGCGACGATTCTGATGAAGCAGTACACAGCAGTGCAATCCCAGATTATGATGATCAAGCATGGAGAGCAGAATTTGGAGCTATATATCAAGAGCATTACTAAGTGGACTTAACAACTCTAAAACTCTGTCAAATGAACCTTAACTTGCCTGTGCAAAGTTACCATCCATTGATGAGCTTGCATCGGAGCAATGACCCTACTTGGGTTATCTAGACCACTTCCTCTGTTATTGGCTTTCTTCATTTCCTTTTTTTGGCTTTCTTGTATTTGTTGTGCAGCACTACTTTGTGGGTGAACTGAGAATATGCGAATGTTTGTTGTAATATCAAGATTATCCCTCCTAGTTCTCAAAATGTCACAGACATCCTCTCATCAGTGAATCTAGTAAAGGGATCTAACTGATATTAATGATCTCTATAATGAACTGATGTCATTTACCGTATTAATGTATATTTAAGAGGTCCCTCATTGATTATTAATAGGAATAGTCACTAAGTCTTTTATCCGAACGATAGTTTTAGGATCTTGAAAGATTAATTGAGGTATGTATAAGGTAGTCACTACTCACTAGGTCTCTTATCCGACTGATAGTTTTAAGATCTTGAAAAATTAATTGAGGTGCGCGTAAGTTAGTCTAAACAATCTCAATCATTAAAAAAAGAAAATCAGATCGACATATGGTCTCTTATCCGATCGATAATTTCAGGATCTTGAAAGATTAATTGAGATGCGCGTAAGGTAGACACTACTCACTAGGTCTCTTATCCAATCGATAGTTTCAAGATCTTGAAAGATTAATTGATATACGTGTAAATTGATCTGAACAACCTTGGTCTTTAAAAAAAGAAAATCAGATCAACATGTTACGTGAGATTTCAATTTTTAGGTCGATGAACTTCCTCATCGGATCCACATTTCACGGTAAAGGAGAGTGTTTACTGTTTTGGGGTAAAGAGGTAATTTGACAATTTTAGTATATGCAAATAAAATGTGTGAGAATATTCTCCAAAAATAAAACGTACGACATGTCGTATCTGGTTCAACTACAGTAAATAAATATTGTTTTACACTCGTTCAGTCTCTGTCCGTAGCTGGTGTATTTCATCAGATAAAATCGAGAGAGAACAAGAGATAGATACAGATATTTAGGCATGGCAGCGCCGGATGATTCTTCTTCTTCAAACCCCATCAACGATGAGAATTCTATTTCCGAAACTAACCCTAACCCTAGTTCTTCTAAATCTTTAGTCTCTGTTCCGTCCGGTTCCCCTGCAGTGTGCCTGGTCCAGTTCGCTAGCGACTCCTTCGCCGGCGCCTTCATGGGCTCCATCTTCGGCTACGGTATGTTTATAAATAGCGTTTTGAATTTTGGGTTTTATTTTTGTTTTTGTTTTGGATTGAATTGTATTGTACAGCTTTAATTTATTATTATTATTATTATTATTTTTTTGGTTACCATTGATGGGTTTGGTTTAATGTGCTTAAACATTTATATTTTACGCTACATAGTTGTTTCTTTGATATATGTGTTATATTTGGTTTTTTTTTTTTTTTTTTTTTTTTTTTTTTTTTTTTTTTTTTTTTTTATTATTTCTTTTTTGCATGTTTTTATATCTTGACTCTAGATAGTTGATTCATTGATAAAATGTGTAGATTTTAGGGTTTTTCCTGGCATGCTTTTATTCTGTTTTTGGATTGAACTTTTGGACAAAGCTTTAGATTTTTTGTAAACCTTCATGGTTTTGGTATGTTGTGGCTTATTTCGCAGTGGCTTAAGGTTTTTTGCGGAATTATTGGTAATTGATTGTGAATGATCTGTTTAAGTTATTATTTGGTGTTAATGTTGACTGATTATTGTATATTATAAGACTATGAGTTGAGCTCCAAATAATCTCAGTGGTTGGAGAATCTGGCGATGGATTGGGAATGTGGGTGTTTTCCGTCTTTGAAAGCACTAATGCCATTTATTGATATGATCGAATTAGGATTTCTTTTTCTAACTCTATCCTCTAATTACTGTGCTTTAAATGTTTTGTTTTTGCATTATCCTGCTTTGCTTCAAGGGACCTTAAATTGGATGTCCATGATGTTATTTAGTTGAAATTGTGTTGGGAATAAGTGTTGGTAGTATTGTATGTATTGGAGTTACTTTGTTTTGATGATTGAGTAAAGCTTTGTAGCTTATTTGCAGCTTTGAGGTGATTGCTTTAAAGAACGAGTAAATGGGCAGCTTTTTGTTTTTGCAATATTGAGCTTTGACATTAGATGGAACTTTTTAAGTTGTAACTTAGATAAGAGTGCTATTTACGTGGATATTATGTTGGGAATGCACAAATGACATATGAATTAGTGATTTAGTTTGCCTTGGAAGTTTTATTTCACTGAGACATTATTTCCTTCCTGATGCTCTATGTTAATTAACCTTGTTGTGCTCATGCTTTAGAATGCCTTGCGTGGACTTGTTTCAGGTTCCGGGTTGGTTAAGAAGAAAGGCTTCAAAGGATCCTTTGGAGAGGCCGGATCTTATGCCAAGGTATGTGAAATTCCATGGTTTTTATCTTGGGTGGATTCTTTAGTCTTGTTAGAATTTGATTAAATGTCATGGTTTGATTAACAATGTAGTGTTTTTCAATATTTGCTGGCTATAAAAGTCTCATGCATCTATAAATTTCCTTGTTAGACATTTGCAGTTTTGTCTGGAGTACACAGTTTGGTTGTCTGCTTCTTAAAGAGGTTGCGAGGGAAGGATGATGGTATGGCATTAACAGTAGAATACTTTCCATTTTTATTATTTCTGGATTTTTATTATAATCAATGTTCTTTCCCTGCAGTAATTAATGCCGGAGTAGCTGGATGTTGCACTGGTCTTGCTCTAAGTTTTCCAGGTAAACTTATAATATCTCTGGCCATGCTCCACTCTATTTTCCTTTGGTGAGAGAAATAAACAATTTCTAAATATTTTTGAATATCTATCAGACATGTCTAGCTCAAGAATAATTTATCACCTACAAGGAAAGCTTCTTCTCAGAAATTATATTGATTATTTGAAGTTATAGTTGGGCTCTTGTTAGTTTTATCTTCAGTATATAGTTAATTCAAAATCTTTTATATAGTTATCACTGGCTGGGTGGTTTATTTGTGTCATTTGCTTATGTAGGTGCACCCCAGGCTCTCTTACAGAGTTGTCTCACATTCGGAGCATTCTCGTTTATCATTGAAGGGCTAAACAAACAGCAACCAGCGATGGCTCATTCATTTTCCACGAGAAACATAAGTGGGCAGTTCAAGAGGCCTTCTTCCTTGGCACTCCCTCTTTCACTCCCTCTACCTGATGAATTGAAGGGTGCTTTCTCTTCTTTCTGCAAGACCTTGAGAAAACCTAAAGAGGACGATTTTCCAACTTCCTGTTGATAAACTTGGGCATGTGATGTTTTCCAGTTTCTCTTAGATTTACCTGTGTGGTGACAATGTTTTATGTAGAATCTTAGTTGAGATTTTGAAGCTTGTTGCAGGCAGAATGATGAAATTATTTTTTGTTTGACACTGTTACATTTCTTGATTAGGTTGAGCTTTAAGTTTGATATAACCTAAGAAAAGCAGAAAAACACTCTCAATTCTGCATGAACCCTTTTAGAGAATGATTATCAGTTTGAAGAAATGAAGTGTCTATTTTTTCAGGGAAAAAAATAAAATGAAAGGAAAAAAGATACCAATCTATGAGAGGATCCCTTATAGAAAATATTCAGAAGGTAATGATATATCTTGATTTACTGCAAATATATATATATAACATATGGAACTAAATTCTTCAGAAACTCCTAAATGAATGTTATCCCAAATAGGAAAAAGAATATTACAGTCAACCGAGTGGAGAATATCCAAAAAGAATCTAAAAATCTTTATTAACCTAACTGTGTTGTACATTGAGGAACACAAAACCACAACTCTATAAAACCCTTTATAACAACCAGCTTACTTTTTCCTCCTCTGCCAAACAGCTTCTCACCTTGTTTTAAAACACCAGAATGTTTTCTTCAAACTGTGATGCAAAAATGGTTAGACACTTACTCTAATATGCATTTGATTATTGTTTTAATATTTTTTTTTTCTCATTAGTTTTAATATGGAAGATGGGTATATCTACATATGCAGACATGTGGCTTGAAAGTAGACACCTCTGATCCTGGATGGTACAAATCCATGACGAAAATTCTCAGGAAAATCAAGGGTAAACTTCCCTTTTATTATCCCATTCCAACCATGAAGATCTATATTTAAATTCTATATCAAACAGGCTATTACGTTTTTTTAACCAAATGTTTTTTTAGGTGCATCATACAACATAAATGTAGAGGAAGGGATGGCGTATATTACAGGAAAAGCAAATCCGAGTAAACTTCTGAAGAAGCTCAGGTCAGAAAAATATGCAGACCTCTGTTGGGTCATGACTGGAAACAGAATCACTTATGGCAATGGCAGTGCTTATTGTCAACCAATGGAGCCCCCTTCAAGTTACTGGCACAACCACCATCCTGTGCCTTTGCATCATCATAATTTCTATCCTCAAAGGCCTCCAATGGTGCCTTATTCATACCATGATTTTCAAAACTACGGCTACTGGGACAGAATTTCTTACTAGCTAGAGTTCTTTTAGGGGGGAAAAAAATAAAATAAATAATCTATTAGACGACTATCTCCTCTTAAAAGATGAGATTAAAAGCTTTTATTTTCGCTTTATTTTAAATATATTTTTAGTAAGACATTGTGTGTGCTAATGTGCAAATCCTTGATTTTAGTTGGATTTTTGTACAAGCTTTTCCGGTAGAACAATTTATGGATGTTATATTTGAATTTCGACTTTGTTTTTTATTGGAATATATTAAATAATGGAGTTAATTTTTGGTTAATATATGAGATAAATAATTGTTTTTATCTTTATTTTTTATCAAATGTGCATTGATTCAAAGAAATTTGTGAATTATAAATTGTTGGATATGATTCATACTTTGTATAGCCTTGACAGATTATCAGCTTATGCCGATGCATTCGACGGTCTCACTTCCCTGTGAGTGGGCGGCAGTTTTCTATTATATACATTATGTAATAGTGAAAAACTTAGAGTGGAAGATAGAGAGCAAGACGATGAGTGGGCGGCAATCTTCTATTATATACATTCTGTAATAGTGAAAAACTTAGAGTGAAATGTCGATACTTTTGATTATTGTATTGTACTGATTACTAAAACTTAATAACATTATTTTATTTGAATGCTGGATATAATTCTTTTTATTGGAACAAAACAGAGTAAATCGATTGTCTTTTTTACTTTTCTGTTTTATTATTGTATGTGTTTTGGCTGTGGTTTCAACATAAACCATGTCTTGGGACGATGAAAATTAAAGACATTATGACTAATGAATGGGACACATGAACAAACAAATTAATACAAGTATAATCATACTATAATCTTAAGAATTTGATATGATAAATCTTCTATAGTAGATTTATACATGGTAGAACGAGATACTGCGAGATTAATAGTATCACAAGTCTATGCATGTATATATACACATACCTAATTGCCATTCAATTTTGATTCACAATAACGTAAGAATTTTATGATATCTTTGATTCAACAATGGAGAATTTTATGATATCATATTCAAAACTGGAATATGAATCTCATATCTATGATTTAAAATGGAAAATGAATCTGATCATGATCATAATTAGAGTTTTGTCATTTTGAAAGGTAAATTCTGAAACTTAATGAAAACCTAAAGTACCCTAAAATTCATAATCATAAATAACACTTTCATTGCTCAATTTTAGAAGAACAAAGCACACAACTTTTCTTATGGGTTCTTCATCCTCAGGATTCATGGTAACACTAGCTCAAACACCCATTTTTTTATTTCTTTTATATGTTCTTTGTATCTTATATTATTATTATTTTTTTATTTTGTAATATTTATAATGTTGAAGACTAGTAGATTGATAGTGGAGACTGACTCTCCTGGTTGGCATAAATCTATTATCAAATTATTGAGCATTGTAGAAGGTACTCTTTCTCGTCATGAATTCTGCTGCATCATTCATTCTCATCTTATTTGTTGACGGTGATTTGAATGGTTTTGGCCAATTTTTGTGAATTTTTTCAGGTGCATCCTACAGGATTGATGCACAACAAGGGTATGCATACATTTCAGGTAAAGTAGATAGAGGGGATTTTCTGAAGATGGTAGCAAAACTAAAAGAACATATACAACTCTATCATATGGAATATGATTATGGGTACCAAGGCCATGCACAGAACCAGCATTCTGCCGCATCATCAGATGCAAAATCTCCAGATCAACAGAAACCGGGCGATATGAAGAATCACAAACGTATCAAGCCTAGTTGCTGTACTGTAATGTGAACAAAAATGGGAACATGAATTGCTTTTTATTTTTTTTTTATAAGTTTCCAAGAGACAATGCAGATAAGTTTCCAAGCTGAATGTTTCATTCTACAGCTATGCCAAAATATCAGTCTCTATGTTTCATAATTAATAATAGTACAACATCTCACAATTTCATTTAAACAGTTTGAAGAGAAATGTCGTATGAGAATCAGTTTTCTCATAGGCTCCGAAACTCATTACCTGTTCCACTTGTACTTTTCGACTTATTTTCGTGCCTTTCAATAGAAGGGAGATCATAGAATTCTTCCAAGTAGGACAAAGCTTCTGAGTTATTGTCACAGATCTTCCATAAAGATGCAACCTCATTTCTTGCTAAAGTACCCCAATTTTCACAATCACCAAGAAAGTCGAATAGCTTCCCATAAAACGAGTCGTAATTCATCACAAGAAAAGGAACTGGAAGCTCTGACCCAATCCTTTCCAGCTGAATTAGTGCTAGAATCTCAAACATCTCATCTAGTGTACCAATCCCGCCAGGGAGAGAGACTACTGCAGTTCTAATGGAGCTACTATTCCTAACTGCAGCATCCACCATGCCATGCTTTCTTGCAGAGAAAAACCTACATTTTTTATTGTAGTACATACAACTTAGAAACCTGTGAGACATGTCGGTAAAATTTGTAGCAATAGTAATATTACCTGCAAGTCAGATATGATTCTGAAGGTAGGTAGGGATGAAATTTAGAGGCTGTCCATTCACCTGCTTCTTTATCTATTTTAAGTCCACCAACTGGCTTTCCTGCTTGCATAGCACCTTTGGTCACAGCATCCATGAGCCCAGGACCAACCCCCGACCACGTGGTGCAGTCCAGGAGGTTAGCAATCTGCTCAGCTACAATGGCAGTCAAAAATCAAAGAAACTAATGGGGAAAATCTCAGACATCAGGACAATTTTATTCAATAATGCATGCACCTTATGTTTGTTAGCCATGCATCCCAGCACATACATAATTAACAAAATACTGATTTGAAAGTAATTTGAGAAAATGATAATATGAGATATCTTGCCTCTCTACTCAACTCCAGAGCTTGAACATGATGTGGATGATCAGGTCCCATCCTTGAAGAACCCAAGTACACAACTCCCCTCCCCAGTCGGTGTATGAGTTCGTAGCATTGTTCTATCTCTTTTCTAACCTTTCAAACAATAAACCCACTTTAGAGAAATAGCTCCCCCATGTTTATTGACACTGTGATGCATGACATATATTCGTAAAATCGACTAACAAGAAAGCAACGGCACAAGGTGGCACCTAAATGCAGAAAACCTGCAATAATGAATCTTCAAGAGGTTTTTCCCTCTCCCAATAAGAAAGCAAAAGGGAGACAAGATGCTAAATGCGAATTCCAACAGCATGCCATATTCAATCCTTTTGAGGTCTTGTTGAATCAGATCAAAACTAAATACCACAAACGCAAAGGCAAATGTAAATCAACAAATCAGTTCTTATTAAATAGTCTGGCTGCAATATTTATCTTTTACTCCACCTCAATATGGCTTCTCCCAATCGTTCAATTAAACTCTTAGCTTCTACTTCTACAGTGCAAATGGCAATTCAAATCTTATGAATCAACACTCATCATATAACAAATCTCAAAACGTCGAAGCTTGAATGAACAAAGAATTTGAAAAATTAGAAACTTTAGAGAAACTAAGAACTGGGTTTACCTCAAGAGGGCTTGTTCTCTCTTCAAAGTCAACCACCTCACTCTTACAGAGCAAAGCTGAAGCTCTTCCTGGGCAAGAATTAAACTTTGAAGTAAATTTAACACTGAACCTCTTTTTCCCGCTTGAAGTTTGAAACTTTACAGTCTTATGACAAGAATTCTTCAACCAAACATGAGAACCAAATGAACCCACCAAAGAAAACCCCATTTCAGAACATTCAAATTAGAAAAATACTGTTCTTGTTTTAGTCAATTGGTTGTTTCTAGTAAGGGTTTATGTCTGAAATTTGCAAATATGGACCATCTGAAAACTTTTTATGAGATTTTTGCAGAGATAAGGAATTGGGTTCCAATTTGGACAGAATTTTATGCTGTTTCCAACCACAAAAGAGAAGAAAATTTTTAAATGATCAAAATATTATATTAGGGAGTCAAGATTCCAATTGAAATTTGAATGTCATTTTTATAAATTAGCCGGTAATATATATATACTCTAATTGAGATCATTGTGGCAGGGTTTTAATATATTAATTTGGCCGAACGACTTATGCATACCCAAGGTTTGTCGAAATGACATTGGTATCTAAAAAGTTTTGAAACGATAAATAGGTACCTTCCGTCATATTCTGTTAGTGATTTTCGTTAGATAATAGTGAAAAGACTCAAATGCCCTTGAAAGTTTAATTTTTAGTTTTTTATAAATTTAAAAATTTCTAAAAAACCCCCTAGGTTTGCTAATTTGACTAAATACCCCAATATATAAAAATTTTATAAAATAACAAATACACCCCCGTCACCCACAGTGCCAGATTCTGGCCACCACCGCCCGAATCTGGCCGAAAAATTGTGTTACGACACAGACCCGTCGGATCTGTGTCGTTTTAAAACCTTTTGGGTACCAACTTGTCGTTTCGATAAACATTGGGTATGTATAAGTCGTTCTCCCTATTAATTTTTATTCTTAGTTTATAATTATATAGCATATGTGCTCATTAATTATTATCAATTTTTTTTTTTTTTTTGGATAATATAGTTTTTATAATTCCGGTTAGGTAGTAAGCTATATGTGAGACTAATGATAATAGTTGCTTTATCTTACTTTCCATTGATATAATTGGATAAGTAATTGTGCCAGTTACATTTTGGGCTACATATTAGTTGTAAACTTTGTTTTTATAATGGACCTAGGAGGTTGGTGTTCTAGTAGAACTTTGAGTCCTACTTGCTAGATAAGTCTCAATTAAGATGGTAAGTCTCAATTAAGATGGAAGCATCATCCCCTGCTATTATCATATTAGACTTACCAATTCAGGATCTTGAGTAAAGTAGAAAGTAAATAGGATTCCAATTCTTTGTTTTGGATTACTGTGAGTTAATGGGCTGGAACCCAATTTAGCTTAACTCGTAGGATAACTTAACTTATATAGTGGTCAGTTCACAAGCTAGATTTAAGCGTAGATTCAACCAGAATTGGGTTAAGGTATTGGGCCATAAGATGTTTATTTCATTATTGGACCTTGTTAGGCCCAATACGAATTTTGGCTCATACACTATTGTAACCTTTATTGACTAATTAAATTTCCTTTAAATCAACGTTAAGACTTTCTTGATACTTACATGGAAAATACTGTGAGGTCCTACTTTTCAAACTTCTATTCCAGATGAGCTGGATAAGCTGAGCAATTAGATTGGTCATTCATGAGAAGTTCCATGGATGAATAGATTTAATTGGGTCAGCTGAGTAGGATTTGCCTTAGAGTGAACCATTGGAACTAACTGGATGGATGAAAAGTTGTAGCTGCTTCTGTAGTATGAAATCAAATGTCCCCCATGATACTTTCTATTTACTTCATAGATAGCTTCGAGTGCCAAGTATTTTCCACGTACTTCAGTCATTCTTAATTTGTTGGTAATTTAATGGCTATAAACAAACTTTCTCTTTAACTTCCATTTGAATTGAAATTGAAACAAAGGCCCTACACAGAGTAGATAACTAAAGTAATTAGAATCGAACACTAGGAATATTTCTCAACAAACTAAGCAAATACTACACAACTTTATAAAATATGAATGGCAAGCTGTTAGGGCTAAAAATCATATTGGGTTTGACGAGGCCCAATAACGAAATAAATATGTTACGGCTCAAGGCCTCAACCCAATCCCGATTGGGCCTACGCTTAAAATTACCTTGTGAACTACCCACTCTATGAGTAAGGCTATCCTATAAGTTAAGCTAAATTGAGTTTCAGCCCGTTAGCCTGCAACAATCCATAAATAGGAAATCATAATTCCATTATATTTCCTTTTTTTTTTATGGGATAAGGTAAGTATGTATAAAAGACAAAAAATGTACAAATACGAGGGGCATACCCCAAGAGAATGATTGATAACTCTCAGTCAAGAACCCGTGGGAAAACCCATAAAGTCACGAACAGCATGAAGAGAGCACGCAGGCTCCCCACAAAGCAAGAAGATGCCATAAATAACAAAGCCACAAACCAGCATAAAAGAGCACGTAGGCTGACCACAAACACAAGCCACAAACCGGCATAAAAGAGCATGCAGGCTCACCACAAACACAAAGCCACAAACCGGCACAAAAGAGCACGCAGACAAAGCTAATCAAGAAGATGCCATATCACACGGAGCTGAGTCGAGATCTCGTACTTAGGTGCTGAGTCGAGATCTCGTACTTAGGTGCTAGACCCAAAATCTTGGCTCGAACTAGATCACAAATAGCTAAGACAATATCTCTGCGAGAGCTACAATGCTGACAAAACACGCGATTATTCCGTTCAAACCATAGGAAATAAACTGTGGCTGAAAGGACCAACTGGGAAAGAAGGTGGCTGAAGTCACATTTTCGTTGAAGATGCAAGCTAGCCCACTGGAGCAGAGGGAGCCAGGAGAGAGTAGGCCATGTAGAAAGCGTCCTGGTAGTGACCTCCTGCCAAACATAACTAGAAAAGTCACAGTTGAAAAACAAATGGTCATGGGTCTCTGTAGCTGATCTGCACAAAACACACCGGGAGGATGTAATGACACCATGAGAGCTGAGCCGGTCCATGGTGTGAAGCCGACCAAGAGAAGCGAGCCAGAGAATGAAAGAGTGACGTGGAATATGCCCGGGAAACCACAAAAGATGATGAATCGAGTTCACATCCCGTTTGTCTCGCAACACATTCCAGGCTGAATCAATAGAGAAACGTCCAGATGGATGGCCTTTCCACACAAGATGGTCAAGATGACTCGTTGAAGGCTGCACTGTAATAAAGTCCCAGATATGCTGAAGGTCTACACTGCCCGAGGGAAAGTCCCACAAACCATCCTGAATAATGTCTGAAACCCGAGCATCCCACGATAAACCAGTGGAAGTCAAGGTTCTAAAAGGGAGGAAGTCACACAAAGGACCCTGCGGAAGCCAGTGATCTCGCCATAACATGGTGTCCCTACCATTTCCAATATAAGTCACAATAAGACCCCGACACCAAACCCTGCTAAGTAAAATCTTCCTCCAAGCCCATGAAGCCCTAGAAGTAACTCGGATATGCCAAAAGGATCGACCACGGAGGAGAACCAAACGGGCCCAAGAAGACTATATAGAAGATCTATCAGTAAGAAGCCTCCAAACGTGTTTAAGAATAGCTGCCCTATTCCAATCTTGGATCCTCTTAATCCCCAGGCCACCCTCCGTCAATGGATAGCAAACAGAAGACCATGCAACCTTAGCACCAAAAGAGGACAAAGAAGTATCCTTCCAAAGAAACGAGGCCAAAATACTCTCAATCCGTCTGACTGTAGTTGCCGGCAAAAGAAACATGGAGGACCAATAAACCTGTATGGAGAAAAGTACCGACTTTATCAATTGTAGTCAGCCTGCATAGGTCAAAGATGCTGACGTCCATAGCCTAATCCGAGAAAGGATTCGCTCCAACAGAGGCCTACAATCAGAATGTCAAAGGCAGGTAGAGATTAGAGGAACCCCTAGATATCTTACCGGTAACTGGCCTAACTAGAAACCCATGATAGACTGTAACCTAATCTGCTCCTTATCTGTAACTCCAGAAAGAAACAACTGGCTCTTCTCTGCATTAGTCACTAATCCAGAAACCTTTGCAAAATAATCTAAGGCCGATTTGATCAAGCTAACAGAGGAAGCATCTGCTCTACAAAACACCATCAAATCATCTACAAAACACAAATGAGTAATAGCTGCCCGCCTACATCTCCAATGATAATGAAAACTAGGGCTGTGAGAGGTCCGTCTGACTGTGGTTGCCGACAAAAGAAACATAGAGGACCAATAGACCTGTATGGAGAAAAGTATCGACTTTATCAATTGTAGTCGGCCTACATAGGTCAAAGATGCTGACGTCCATAGCCTAATTTCGAGAGAGGATTTGCTCCAACAGAGGCTACAATCAGAATGTCGAAGGTGGGTAGAGATTAGAGGAACCCCTAGATATCTTACTGGTAACTGGCCCAACTGGAAACTCATGATAGACTGTAACCCAATCTGCTCCTCATCTGTAACTCCAGAAAGAAACAACTGGCTCTTCTCTGTATTAGTCACTAATCCAGAAACCTTTGCAAAATAATCTAAGACCGATTTGATCAAGCTAACAGAGGAAGCATCTGCTTTACAAAACACCATCAAATCATCTGCAAAACACAAATAAGTAATAGCTGCCCGCCTATATCGCCAATGATAATGAAAACCAGGGCTGTGAGAGGTTTCCCGAAAAATACCAACTAACCCCTCCATAGCCAACACAAAAAGGTAAGGAGAAAGAGGCCCCCCCTGCCGCACACCCCGGGAGGACCTAAAAAAATAGTCAAGCTCTCCATTCAGGGCAATAGAGAAATACGGGGTAGAGATACATGCCATGATCCACCTCACCATACGCTCAGGAAAACCTACAGTACGAAATCCCAAAAGTATGAAATCCCAACTCACAGTATCAAAAGCTTTCTGAATATCAACTTTAAGGGCACATCAAGGTGAAGTACCCCCAAGATGATAATTCTGCAAAAGCTCTTGAGTCAACAGAATATTATCAGAAATTCTTCGACCCGGGACAAAAGCTGACTGGGAAACCCCAATAATATCCGTAAGCACTACTTTAAACCGATTCACAATCACCTTAGAAATGCACTTGTAAAGTACATTACAACAAGATATCGGCCTAAAGTCTGTCATACGACTCGGGCTCTCCACCTTAGGAACCAAAGCAATCCTGGTGGCATTAACACATCTTGGCATTTCATTAGTAGCAAATAAATGTCTCACTGCATCTTTGAAATCTGTACCAATAATATCCCATGCCCGTTTAAAAAACAAAGATGTGAATCCATCCAGGCCCGAGGCTTTATCGTCTAGGCCCGGGGCTTTATCATCTAGGGACTAGG